GCCGAGAGTTCTCGGAGTTGTTCGCGGCGCGTTTATCTTAGTAAGATCTCGTCGTTTACGGAATACGGATGTATGTCACTAACTGGTCGTTTACGGAATATGTCACTTCACCTGGTCGTTTACGGAAGAGTAATGTCACTAACCTGGTCCGTTTAGGGATATGTCATTACTGGTTGCTTTAGGAATATGTCACTACCTGCGTCGTTTACGAATATGTTCTCACTACACTGGTCGTTTGACGGAATGATGTCACGTACCTGGTCGTTTAGATGCATCATGTCACTAACCTCGGTCGTTTACGGAATTATTCACTAACCTTGGTCGACCTAAGATACCGAGTGATGCTCATGCCAACTGGACCCGGCAGTTTAACGCAATTCTGTCACTAACCTTGGTCGGTTTTTAACGCGAATATGTCACTAGCCTGGGCGGTTTACGGAACTTATGTCACCTAAACTGGACGTTTACGGAATATGCTCACTACCTGGTCGGTTTAGTGCAAATATGTTCACTAAACGGGGTTTCTGTTTCCGAATTATGGTCAAACTAACCTGCGTCTGTTGTACGAAGTGATGTCACTAACCTGGTCGTTTACGCGAGTTGTCACTTAACCTCGTTCCGTTTACGGAAGTATGTCACTACCTGGTCCGTGTACGCGATATGTCATCGTAACCTGGCTCGTTTACGGCAATATGTCTACTACACGGGTCGCTCTTACGGCCCACGATATCAGCTCTACTAGCCTCGCTTCGGTTGTACGGAATATGTCACTGTAAGAACTTGGTGCGTTTACGCGAATATGTCACTAAACTTGGGTCGTTTACGCGAAGTATGTCACTAAATTGGGTCGTTTCACGGAGTATATCACTAACATGAGCTCGCCACTTGGGATGTGAAAATGGAGGCAGCGGACAGGGGTGAGCGATTCCTTAGTTGGTAGCGGTCGTTCTCACGTTCATAAGATCGAATCGGCATTAGGTGTAATTATAGTTTAAGAAGATGACGGTTAGAGGGATGTGGGAAGAAATTGTAACGTGCGGCCGTCATTTTGCGGTGTCGCGTTAGAGCGTGGTTATTTTCGAGTTAACATGGAGAGGTGGAATAGGGGGGGGGACGGGCCAGGGGAGGGCCCTCGCAGAGATTGGCGGACGCTTAAAGACTGAAGGAGATCTAGAAATGAACTAGAATGACATACAAATTATGCTGAGATGTAAGGGGACTGCGGGGCGCGCCGCTACGATCGGCACCGTGTCGCGGTGCTGGGTCGAAAAATATTACAAATGATATGTGCCGGGCAATACCGGGTCGTGGGTCTGGCGTGTGTCGTGTCGTTGTGTGTGGGGGAGTGGGTGGGGTGTGTGGGTGGCTGCTCGGTGTGTGTAGTGTGTGTGTGGGTTGTGTGGGGGTCTGTGGGCGTGTGGTCGGTAGTATTTACTATAAATGTGCGCGATTTTCTGGTGTGTGTCTGGGTCGGGGCTATACGTTTTCCGTAGCGCGCTCAACGGGAATCCTCTCCGAACTTCGGTCGCACATTCGTTACAGATCATGACACGTTGGCTATTTTCTTCTCTGATAAGCTATTTTTTCCACGTTGATCGTGTCAGAAAATTCATTAAAAAGTGGGTCATTTTTTGCGGCACCGGCAACGTGCACAACGGAAAACACATGGCATGTTGTAAAAAACGAATGTATAACAAGGCGCCCTCATCCTATCTAACAGCAGAACTGTTATACATCTGTTTTTACATTTGTTTCTTAAGATGGCAGGCGCATGTTCGTTTATAACATAGTCACTTCACGATCGCCACACACAGAATCCAATTAGTGAGTAAGAGATAAGTTGGTTTATTACAAGTACCGCCTAATGCAGCCAAAGAGCAATTCACTCACACGTTCGGAAATAAGCTCGACAAGATGACGCAGAAAGAAAGTGCCCGCTGTCAAGAGATACTTCCTCGAATGCCATCGTCTCTAGGTGGCTAGATTTCAACCGTAAACGTAAAAAAGTAAACCGTTTCAGCTACCTCTACTAATTAGCTGCTTACAAGCCTTCTTTATTTTTTTAGTTAGTGTGTGTATGATGCACGTTGTTGTCTGTGTGTGTGTGCTGTGTGTGATGTGTTGTTAGTGTGTGTGCTGTGGTGGGGTGGTGTAGTATGTGGTGTGGTTCTGTGTGCATGTGTGTGTGTGTGCATGTGTGGTGTGGTGTTGGTGTGTGTGTGTGTGTGGTGATGTGTGTGTGTGTGTGTGTTGTGTGATGTGGTTGTGTGTTGTGTGGTGGTTGTGACCTGTGTGTGTGTATGTTGGGTTGTGTGTGTGTGTGTGTGCTTGTGTGTGTGGTGTGTGTGTGTGTGCGTGTGTGTGTGTGTTTATGCGCGCGCGCATGTGTGTGTGTGTGTGTGTGTGTTGTGTATGATGTTGTGTGTGTAGTGTTGTGCGCACCGCGTTTGTGTGTCGTGGTATAATGCTGTGTGTGTGTGTGTGTGTGTTGTGTGTGTGTGGTGTGCTGTTTGCGCCCCGCGCGCGCGAGTAGGTTGTGTGTGTGTGGTCTTGTGCTGTGTGTATTATTTTGAGTTACCAATGACCATTTCTTACATTCCCATTAATTATGGTTCCATTCAGAGCAGACGCCGTTCCAGAACCGGCAAATCCATGCAGGAAATCGCGCGCGTGCACGAGACGATACAGGCTACAGGTAGCGGCATTCAGCCTCTAAGACAGACACTTGGGTTTTAATTATTTACACCATACTGTTGTTTATGTCGCGGCCCTAGCATTGCGTAATATTATATTCCTTATTTATGGTTCTTCATGAGCCAACGATGCGTTTCGGAGAGCCGGAACTTCGATGCCTAGCCGCAATCGGTGCTGCGGTAGACTGATCATGGGAGAGAAGAAGATCGCACCAGAAAGCGAAGACTTCACTGAGACGCGCGAGGAGAGAGCAAGGACTACAACAAAGGTATTGCTTTGTGCGTGCGCGGTAATGCTTGTTTTAGTGCTATGAAGATACTCTCACGCGTATATTCGTACACTTCCCTCAGTGACTCAAGCAGTATTCGCTGTCACGTTTCCTTACTGACCAATGTGCCTACACCTGGACGCAGAGAAAGCAAGGTTTCTCGTTGTATTCAGTGGTCGTGTAGCCACTTCAATACAGAACGCTGCTGAGAGCCCAAGCCAGGCCAGCCATTCCCTTCAGCCACCAATCATCCAGGAGCTTTGATTCTTAACTGGTCTTTTATTCAGAACTCCCGCAAGCTTAACATGCTTTAGCTATGACGTCAATTGGAATGACAGAGGGTATATCAGAAAGGTGACGGCTGGAACCCGGGAGTCGAATACTATAAGTAAGGGCGTATCACCTCATTGGGCCGTTACTCCAGATCAACACGAGCCCATACCACCCGTTTGCACAAATATATTTGTTGATCCGGACCATGAATCTCCACAAATCGTCGTGCCAGCACCACACAACAGCACATCTCAATGAAGTGCCTTCTTCAGTGAAAGGCACAGGAGGCCTTTGCATATTGTAGACCTCTCTCATCAACGAGTTCAAGTCGCGTCGCTGGAGTATGTGAGTGAGTTTGTGACTTGCCTGGAGGAGCGCTTACGATTTACTAACAGAGAGGGACGTCACAAGGCATCATCGGAGGTACGATGAACTACCAACTGGATCAGACATTGGCTGTCATTATTGCTGTCGGAACTGAATCAACATTCCACCCTTTGGATTGTGTGTTACTGCCAGCTACGCAGGGAGAAAGGAGGAGATATTGACGCCTTTCATTCGACTATATTTCACTCTCCTATGCTTCTCCTCTACCTGCAAGGTTCCTATATGGATACCACCGTCAGCTGTCACACCGTCAGACATCGGTCGCCAAGCATCTACGGTCTTGAACGTGAGACAGGCAGTATATGCGCTTATCGGATATCTCTAGAAAAATCGGTGATGCTAAGTCGCATCATGCTCTGAGAAACTTCGATCAGATCATGGCCATCAGTAACAGCTCTGGGTACATTATTTAGTTAGCAGCTGCTGCCCATGCTGATCTCGCTGGGGTTTATGTGTCTGGAGTCATGCTTGCGTCGAGCAGCTGCCCTCATCTGCGCAATCATCCATTTTCGCGAGCTGACAAGATCTTTCCTTTTCTACATGATACGTGCGACGTTCCATCCGCCCTGTGTTTTGGCGATGACAGTCAACAAGTCACAAGGTGGGTCCGTTCACCGTGTCGGGCGTCTTACACGGCGGGGCATCAAAGACTTCTTCGTCATGGCCAGTTCTACGTAAGTCACTGTTAGCTCCGGCATGGGAATGTGCAGAAGCTAAA